GAGACGTGGAATGATGGCATTGAAATATTATAGACTTTGATAGGTAGACTGGATGAATTGGAGGAACGGATACAATATTGAACAGCAGTTTAGATATATATACATATTTAATACATTTATAACTTAATTATGTTCTATAAATTCTATTTCCCTGTCCCTATCTCACCTCTTTATCCCCGGCACTCTGTTTCCTGTTTTTTTTATCATTTACAATCTATATTTGTCATATCAACTTTACATTCGTCATTTGCATATTTTGTTGTTTTCAGATTCTTTTGTAAAATGTTACTATATGTATTTATTTAAGAGAAGAATAAATGGGTCTTTTCTGTTTATAAACAATCAAATACGTATCAAAAAACAAAATTAGGTACAGTAGAGTCAATTAAAGAAGCATGCTACACAGTACAGCTATTTCGCCCTTCTTGGACATGGAATTGACACTAGGGGTCTAAATTTTAAAGCCTTAAAGGCGACTTGGGAAAACATCTAGATGGAAAGGTTCAATAGTCCAACAATTAAATAAATTTCGATATTTACATCCATTTTTGATAATCGTCTAATATATGTGAAGAGATCCGCATAAAATCCTTTTAATTTTTATTCGTTCTTTTTTAAGCTACTGCATAATCGTTGGACGTATAGAGTAGCTATATGGCAATAAAATCTTCTACCATTATAAGTCTTTTATTAATGGAAAATTCGACTCGATTTATCGTATCTGCAGACCATAACTATACTCTTAATCTTATCCTATAACTAAGTTATAAAGACTGAAGACATTTTATGAACAATATCAATTCTGCCTAAACGTCAACATTGTGACAAATAGCAGAGCTGATTAATGATAAAGAGTATACAGATGTTCGTTACGTTATACATGTAAATTTCAGTGATGTTATTTCCATTTATCATTTGCAGATGTTGGTTTCGTGAATTGTATTGATGTCATTAGAGAGATTACTACAATTTATTATTGTATATTGGTCGGTCGAATGTCAGTATTGCTAACAACCGTCCAAATCCCATCACTACCTTCATATATTGTAACGGAACGAAATACAAAACTGTTTCAAGAAATCTTACTTGTTTAAGATACATTGTTTAAGATAAAGGTCTATGAATCAAATGTGAACAAAAAATCGTACCTCTGCCATTTTATTCAAAAGATAACGACATGGGAAGTTGCATACTCCTTTCGAATGATAGCAAGCTTTAATGTTTTATTGGTCTGTGTACCAAGTTCTTTTTCCATTCCAATCCAACTCTCTTTAAAATTCAGACCAGACTGTTTACAAATTTATCTTCTAAACAATTATACACAGCAGCAAGTGATTATCTAATGTAGCCATCCATATCTTAAACAGAGGGTGGGATGGCGGCATAAACAGAGGGTGGGGTGAAGGCATAAACAGAGGATGTTGTGGGGGCATAAACAAAGGATGGGTGGGGGCATAAACAGAGGGTGGGTGGGGGCATAAACAGAGGATGGGTGGGGGTATAAACAGAGGGTAACTACGGACCATAAACAGAGGGTGAGGTGAAGGCATAATCAGAGGATGGGTGGGGGCATAAACAGAGGATGGGTGGGGGCATAAACAGAGAATGGGGTGGGAGCATAAACAGCTGTGGGGGTATAAACAGAGGATGGGTGGGGGCATAAACAGAGGATGGGTGGGGCAAAAACAAAGGATGGGTGGGGGCATAAACAGAGGATGGGTGGGGGCATAAACAGAGGATGGGTGGGGGTATAAACAGAGGGTGGGGTGGGAGCATAAATAGAGGATGGGTGGGGGCATAAACAGTGGATGGTTTAGGGCATAAACAGAGGATGGGTGGGGGCATAATCAGAGGATGGGTGGGGGCATAAACAGAAAGAGGAGAGGGGCATAAACAGAGAGTGGGGTGGGGGCATAAACAGAGGATGGGTGGGGGCATAAACAGTGGATGGTTTAGGGCATAAACAGAGGATGGGTGGGGGCATAATCAGAGGATGGGTGGGGGCATAAACAGAAAGAGGAGAGGGGCATAAACAGAGGGTGGGGTGGGGGCATAAACAGAGGATGGGTGAGGACATAAACAGAAAGAGGAGAGGGGCATAAACAGAGGGTGAGGTTGGGGCATAAACAGATTGTTGGGTATAAACAGAAAGAGGGTGGGTGGGGGCATGAGAGGATAAAAGTTAAAACAACTTGTTCCAGATAAGATTGATATACCATTCTTTTTCTTTCTCATGATCATTATTGACTCGAATTCCCTTCCACCATCCCTAACACAGGGGGCAAATATGAAATCTTTGAGGCATGTCCTTTTTGTCTATATCTCTTTTACAAATTATCGTAAACATACATTTGGTTTCGTTATCCTTAAACAATATATACTGGCGTCCAATATCATTGTTTTATCCCCGTTTGTTTTTTTCTTGATGAAACATGTCTCATATGTGAAAATTCCTCTTAAGCTTAAATAAACCATCAAGTCCAAGACGACTGTCTGTGAGCCATTTTGTTTTTAACTGATCAGTTCCAAAATCAAAACTTATAACCAACGGAACGTACATATTAAATTTTATAAAGAACTATAAAATACTTCTTAAGGAACAGCTATACTAACATTTATTATCCAAATCCAAGAAAGTCGTTCGTCAGCGATCTGTTTTTTTTTTTCCTTATCGGTCCCAAAATCATAATGTTACAACTTTATTGGCACCGAGGGAACCGTCATACTAATTGTAGAAAAAAAAACCCACTCTAGAATTTCCAAGAAATCACGATAAGAACACTTGCATTGTCGAAACCTAAAGTAGCCGTTTGTCATTAAATATTATGAAATTTAAATGAAACGTTTCTTGGCATAATTTTTAAATAGCCTAGTGCAATTTTTTATACACAAGAAATTAACTCGCTGTTAAAACGACCGATAGTATTTTTTTATTGGCTATTTAAATGTCCATGTCTAATATTCTTGCGTGTTGTGGTTAGTGGTATATATATATATATATATATATATATATATATATATATATAGAGAGAGAGAGAGAGAGAGAGAGAGAGAGAGAGAGAATTAATCACTTTTTGTGTATCGTATATACAGAGAAAATTAATCACTTATACGATACACAAAGTTTTTTTTATCTTTTAAAATTATAAATATATACTAAACAAAAAGAGAAAGGTAACACTACTTTATTCTGTGATTAATTAATTAACCCCTTCATAAATCCTTACCAATCATGTACGAATAAAGTAATTGATCAATTCTGATAAAACTGCAGTCATGGTTCATTATAAAACTTTGCGTTCAGTTGATTTTATTCGACTGTAAAGGACGTTGGGGTCAATTTCAAAGGTAACATCATTAGTAACGGGTATGGCCACCGTTTGCGAAGTAAACAGCATTGCAGCGTCGTCGCATGGAACTCGTAAACCGGCGGATAATTCGAGGAGAGATGTTGTTCCATTCAGTGATCAAGGCTTGGGCCAACTCTTGCAAGTTTGACGGCTGATTTTGACGTTCTCTCACGCGTCGCCCAAGAACGTCCCAGACATGCTCAATCGGTGACAAATCAGGTGATTTAGATGGCCAATCTAACACCTGTACGTTATTCTGCTGCAAAGAAAGTTCTGCTGACGCGACTGGTGTGCGCTGGTGCGTTATCCTGTTGAAAAATGGCGCCAACGCCATGGCGTCTTAAGAATGGCAGAACCACTGGTCTTAAAATTTCGTCCCGATATCGAATGCCGGTTAAATTGCCATTTAACATAACAAGCCTGGTACGAGTCCCCCCACAAATACCACCCCAAATCATTACACTTCCGCCGCCAAAGCGATCCCGTTCTGCGACGCAGCAGTTCGCAAAACGCTCCCCTCGTCGCCTCCACACTCTGCGCCTTCCGTCACCGTGTTGCAGACAAAACCTGAACTCATCTGAAAACAGAACATTGTTCCATTGTCGTAAGGTCCAACGACGGTGAACACGGGTCCAGTTACGCCGATTATTACGGTGACGTCGCAATAAATTGTGTCCAGTGTAGGGACGCCGCGCTTTCAATTGGTAGGCCCTCAACCTGTTGCGGACTGTTTGGGGAGACACACGACGCCCAAACAATGTCCTTGTAGTCTCTACTGCGGTTACGAATCAATTGCGCAAGTGTATCAATCGTATACGACGGTCATCCCTGGCGGTCGTTTTACGGGGTCGGCCGCTTCGGGGACGATCGGATGTTGACCCAGTTTGCTTTAAACGACTTACCAACTGGCAAATAATCTTAACACTGCAACCAAAATGCCGTGCAACTCGACGGCGAGACTTCCCAGCCTGGATCATGCCTACAGCCCTTTCTCTCTGTACTTGTGACAGCCGGGGCATAATGATAAAGTTGATAGATAGCAAGATTCGGTGATTTCTAAGTCCTAAGGATCTAAGGAACAGTTGTCAGTTTGAATGTTTATGAAATTCAAGCGAAGATTCAAGTTAGTCGCAGAAAACCTCGGCAGCTCTTTCGCTAATACAGACTTTTACGCATGAATGATTTTGGTAACCCCCTTGGATTTTGTAATGTAAAACATTACCATTTTCTAATATTGCACGAACGTCATTTTGTTTTCACTCATTTACAGGTATTTCCCAAGGAAACATGTTAACCTTTCTTTTTTTGTTGAGTATATATATATACACACATATAGAGAGAGAGAGAGAGTATGCTAATGCTCATGCATCTTTAATCTTTAATTCAATATCCTGGTAATGAAGAATTATCTCCCTTACAAAGATCTCTAGTTCCGGAAACAATTTTTTAATTCTGTTTACTTCCAGCAACAAATAGACGGATGAGTAATAAGATATATTCGTGAATTATTCATTTGAAGACTTTTCATTCCTAAAACTGTTATACCTGATATATTTTGTGCTCGAGCTTCGTAAAGCAGCTGGTTGATATTTCTTGATGGAAACCTGAAACGTCGTAGATAAAGAAAAGCACACATTTTGACGAACTTGTTTTTTAGATTTTGCAGTCAGTCGGTAGTCGTCTGCTTGACAAGTAATCACACTGTACGTATCTACCTATCCAATGTCTTTACATGCTATGTCAACGTCAAAGCAACACAAATGCAAGGAGTAGTACTTGTTATTGTGTCTCAATATCCCAGACACGTAGCTCTGACCAGCAGTTTATAACTGTTGTGATACAATCAGATGATGTTGTCGCACAGGATCAAAGGCATGGGATTTGATGATTGTGGCCATTATTGTAATCTGGAAAACATATCATAAGAATTTTAATTTCACCACATCACATTGCAAAAGATTATTACTGAGACTATGAACGTGCACAATATCCCTACATATTATTTTGACAGGTACATGTACAGTATGTATACATTGCAATGTGATGTGACATTCCTCATTAAAGTAATAAGACTTTAGTACATTTTTCATTACTGTTTGTTATTTACCTAATTAGAAATTTTCTTTAGTGTTCATTATAAATATTACTTATGCAATGCACTCTTCACATTTGATTGCTCACAATGAATTACATTTGTTTTGAAAATTGAATTACATTTCTATTTTGAAAACAGTGTAATGTTTTCTGCAGAGCTTCCTTAAGGATGGCATCAAGTCAAAAATCAGCTTATGGAGACCAGATCAATGCAACAAAATCAAATTCTCAATGTCCTATAAAGAATGCACAGCTTCAACAGAATGAAAATGATGAAATTAGTAAACTGTTACAAGAATCTGTTGGTGAAGATGGGGATCAGAATGACAGTTTTACACTATTGAAAGATTTGGAGGCTGGTTGCCTTACACTAGAAACTCTCCCTGCTGAAATTCTGATGCACATTTTCCAGTTCCTTGATGCCAAAGTCATTGTTGAAGTTCTTGGAAATGTTTGTGTTCGCTTTAAGGATCTATTCAGCAGAGAAACTTACTGGAAGACAAGAATAAGTAAAAGATGGCCAAAACAATATCCTCCAGTTTATGGTAAATAAAAAATAATTACAGCGTATTTAGTTATCAATATTGTATTGATGAAAATATGATTAATATCAAAATATTGCTACTGATGAGGTAATGATAATGTGAAAATGGTATATAATTTTCATTTTCTGTCATCCTAATCATTTATGATATACTATTCCTTGTTTTAAATTACATCACCATTGTTGTTATTTCTTCAGAGTGTCACTATAGAGGATAGTAACCTTGTGTTCAAATACCAACATAGACATAGGGATTTCGAACCCTTAAAATATGGAACAAAAAGTGTTTTATATTTTTTTCAGAGGAAAATTTTAACTGGATTGAGGCATGTGTAGAACGTGAGGAACAACACCGGATTTGGAACAAGGCAAAGGAAACATGTGCCCATATATCCTACAAAGAGGAAATATATGCCTCTGTGGACACTGTTCATCTGATGAAGGTACTGCATCTCTAGTATGGAATGGTAGGATCGGTGAAAATTTTATTTCAGGAATTATTTGACTCTGTACCGTTTCTGTCTTTTTTTATTAAAATACAGAGTTCATTTTAACACTGTTGTATAGATTTCTGTATAGTAGTCTGTTTTACATTGCGATTGATTGTATAGATGTATACATTTCATAAGTGATTGATTGTGAACAGGGAGGGAAACTTCTGGCTACTGGATCACGAGACAGATTCCTCAACTTGTTAGACTTGACCAAATATGATGAAGAAGACCCTGCAGCAAGCAAGAAGTTAATGAGCATTGTCTCTAGTGACAAAAAACATAAGGTATTAAATTTGTTAGACTCTTTTTATATGAATGCAGGCAAAGAGATTTTCTGTTGTTAACATTAGGTAAAAGAAAAAGATGAATACTTAGCAACTGCTGATGTCAGGTTTGCAGTAAGTTTTACATAGTTAAATCCGTCAGAGCAGAATAATTGGTATTGAATAAGATTTCCGTTGATAAATCCATATAATATATTGAATTGACAAACAATCAGGCCATCATGCATGTAGATCTATTTCAATTTTGCACAATTTATCATTAGACTAAGTACTAATATTGTTTTCAAGTCTTTGCTATAGTCTTTCATATATATATATATAAGTCTAAATATATATGCAATCATGAATTATATCAAATATCTTCATATACATATTTATAAAAAACAAGATTTTGAGAAACTTTATTGATTTATTGTTCAGTTTCATATGAGCAAAATTTCTATGAACTTTATTTCTTTTACAACAATTGCAAAACAAGTATAACTCTTATCAGCCCAGATTGAAGTGAGAAAAGTTTTTTTTTAGTGGCTTACATATACACACCAGCAGGTTGTCCCTATCACCTTGCTAGGAGCATAAATTGTTTGCTAAAAAGTGACAGTAAATATAACAGTCACTTCATACATTTAACCATTTTGATCTTATCTTGAATAGTACTTATGAATTGTGTAGAACATTGTGCATTTTTTTGTTGATATGTGCATTAGGATTAAGATAGTGTATCGTATACTAGTCACATTTGTCTGTGCCATGGTGAGGTCATGGTGATGAGAAAAAGTTCTAACTTAAAAACTTCACAAAAATCTAGATGACTTATATGAATACAATTCCTTTGTCATTCCAATTTAAAATGCTCATTTAAGGTATAGCATTGTGAAATCTTGCTTTTTCAAAGTAAAATACAACAATAAAACAAGAAATTAATTAAACTATACATATGTTATAGTTTTGAAGAATTGCTCTGTAAAAAAATTATTATACTTGGATAAAAAACAATAAGGAACTTTGTTATAGGGATGGATTTGGTCACTGGCATCCTATGATGATACTTTGTGTTCAGGATCCTGGGATTGTTACATTAAGATGTGGGATTTAAATGCTGACTTGGCAGAAATCAACAAGTTCAAGTAAGAACAATAATTTGTAAACAAGAAAAAATCTCATTGCATACAAAATGGTACACTTATTTTACAAACTTTCTATGAAGAACTTACAATGTAGCCTGATTGTATGAGTCTTAGCTGTATGCTTCAAGTATTTCCATGGTGAGATTAAGAGAATATTTGTTTGTAATGAGTCGTACATATACCAATATAACTAATCGATTTTAAAGTTGAAGAACATAAAATACCATAGGAACATATTTACATACACCACATTCATTCATGAAAACATAATTTACTTATATATTGCTTTTATTACCATCATCAAAGTGTTAGAAATATTGCCTAGCAGTGCAGAAGATATAACTTTTCTGTAGCGTGGGAGTATGTAGGACTTAGTTTACAAGTAATTGTAATTGGACTTTTACAGGTGCAAGTCTGCTATTCTTGGCCTCCATGCAGAGCCCAATTGGCTGGTGGGTGCTGGGTACAATCAGTTTCTATATATGATCGACCCCCGAAATGGAAGTGGAGAGAAAAAAAAGTTTCATCGTAGTCCAGTGTTGTGTGTGGTTGCAGATGAAAAATATGTAATTAGCGGCAGTGAAGACAAAACCATGGCAATCTATGATAGAAGGGCTGGTCGTGTTTACAAAACTATTCAGGTTAGTAGGCATCTGTATGCTGTAAACTGAATCTAAATTATATAGTTACTTATATTGTTCAGTGTAGTTTTCCATAGTAGTTGAAAACTCTGATATATACATGAGTTCTGATTATGTATTAAAGAAAGAGGTGTACTTAAAATACAGTATGTTGATAACCCATAGAATATGAAGCAGGTAATGTTTTTGCCAGTAAGGTCCCACTATCTGTCAGTAAGTCTGTCTGTTCATCCATCACATACCTTGTCATCACTATATAGTAGCTGCATGTTCTAGGTTACTTACCATGGACATACCTTGGACTAGTGCTAAGGTGATGGTGATCACCAGTATTCATTATCAGTTCTGACTATTGATGTTCACCTTGGACGCAGCTGAGAACAGTACATGTCCAATGAGTGATACTTACTCACTCTTACTGATGAAATAATTTTCTTTAGGGTTAAGGTTTTACTTTATTATAGGTTATTGGAAATAAAAACTGTTGATCATTGGTTAATTCAGTGGTGATTGTTTGAAAACACTGATCAATTACAGGTTTGTTTCATGCATTTTTGAAATAATAGATAATCTTTAGTTCACATGATCCACAGGACCAGTGAGCTTATATACCATATCACAGGCATCAGTTTGACCATCTGTCAACTTTTTCTACGAATTATTACTAGTCATTGTGGACCACTTTGCAGATTTTGACCAAAGTTGGTCAGACAGAAGCACCCTGGAGGGAAGACAGAGCAAATTTTGTATAAACTGTGGGGCCATCCCCCAGAGGCCTGAGGGGTGAGGCCCCATAGGGGAAATAGAGCAAATTCGTTAAATTCCTACTTCTCCTATAGGAATCATTGGATATTGCCAAAAACTTTCTGAAGCATTCCTTGGTAAAGGGGAATTAATTTGTATTAACTGTGAGTCTCTGCCCCTTTGGGCTGCAGGGGTGGGATTCAATAGGGGAAATAGAATAAAGTCTTTAAAATCCTACTCCTCTGATAGGAATGGTTGGATTTTGTCCAAATTTGGTCTGAAGGGTGAAGGGGAATCGATTTTGAATAAGAATAAATAGTGGGTCTTGACACCCTAGTGCAAGAGAGGCAGGACCCATTTTAGGGAGAGAGAACAAATCTTTAAAGTCCCTCTTCTGTAGGAATGGGTGGATTCTGTCTCAAGTTTGGTCTGAAGCATGAATGTTTTTTTACTGAACCACCTTCTCTCCCCCCACAGAGAGTTTGGGGCACAATGTGAAAATAGATATGTTTCCTAAGTTTTGATGAAGCAATTTCAGTCAAGCAAATACAGGTAAACGATACAAGCTGTATGGGCCTCTTGTCATTTATTTATTTCCAGCACTCAACAGTAAGCCAAAAAACCCATCCAAGTGCATGTTGATCATCTAAAGTACCTAAGTATATAAAACATATGCCATTTCATTGTTCCTGTAAAATGTCCATTCCTTGAGTAGGAAGTAACATGTTGGCCCCTGGGCTTATTGCAGTACAGAAACAGTGTATCATGTATACAATACCGATAATTACTAGTATGTTAAAAAATGTTTAGAATGAACACTATTGGTTGTTCTCCAGTAGAGGCATTTTGGCACTTTGTAGCTCTAGACAATACAGTATAATAACAATTATAATGTTGTCAGAGCTGTATATTAACAGAAGCTATCATTATTATAAGCATGATTGTATTGAATTATACAGACAGACAGCTATGCTATGGGCCTGAGTTATGGACACAACCAGCTGTGGATGGGTGATAAAGAAGGACAGGTACACCTGTTTGACACCACATATGGAAGTTTTGAGAAAGTTGAGGTGGGTAACTAAGATATTGTGTTGATGCTTTCTAGATGTGAAATCATTGGATATAGAGAAATGTAATGTTGTATTGTTAAGTAATAATGAAATCTTGTTTGATTTCATTTATAAGTTAATTTTTCCCAAATATCTATCATCAGATGTTGCCTACTTAGTGTACTGAATCTGACTTTACAGCTAGCTTTAATTGAATGATTGTATAATACTGTGGGGTTGCCCAGGTTTGAGGTGGTTCCCAAGGAGTTTGTGTATGTCTGTGAGCTGGTGTCAATATATACAGGGATAACAGATAGTTTGGTGATTTTCATTCACTGTAGATATATTTGCTTGGTATTTAATTAAGCACATCAATTGATTGTGAATAAAGCAAAATTAAGTCTCTCATGAATATTACCAACTTTACAGTATTTGGTAGACTTTTGGGAGAAGTTGACTTAGGATTTACAATACTTGACATGTAAGTTTTGTCAATAACATAGTGTAGAATTAATAACCATTGCAATAAATTTATTATCATTCAAGTATTTCAGATAGAGGTCTGTCAGATTGATTTGCAGTCTTTATTTGTGATATGACCATAGACTGCTAAAGTGTATTCATTATTACTAACAAATTTCTTGGGTTGTCAGTCCTATGATGTGGGCCACACTGGTAAGGTGACTTGTATACAGTACTCAACTGGAGCACTATTCACCTCCTCTACAGACAAAACAGTGAAAGTACTAGAGCCGACCAGGAACCCTGATGTTATCACAACACTAGACAGCCACACAGGCGAAGTGGCAAGGGTAAGTGATCTTTTTATCAGACACGAGTCAGAGCCGAGACGGCCAAATGGTAAATGATAAACAGTCGTGTAATGTTACGTATAATCATTTGTATAAATTCTTGTTCTTCACTTTGTTCATTGAGGAGTTTTCTTCATTCTGATGTCATTTTCATTATAAAGAATATTTTTCTGTTCATATTATTGTCAAGAACATTTAAATGTAGATGTAAATTCATAGATGTTAAACACAGTCACATTCAAGTATTTTGCTATTCTATGTTTTTTTTTTTTTCTCAAGGAAATGTTTGAGATATAATTTCAACTCATCATATGTATACAGAAGATACACTGATCTTTATACTTTTGGAACTTTTCAGTTGTCATATCAAAATGGAACTTTGGCCACTGCTGGAAGTGATAGTACTGTTCAAGTGTGGATACCAAAAACAATTTATGAGAGCTACCGCTGATGAAGACAGAATAAGGCATCGTAGATTCTGTAGATTTTGATGCTTTTCAAGCACGCTTCACTGAAGATTATTATACCTATACACCACAGAAAGCTATCAGTAAGTAGTTCTAATAACATCATAGCACAAAAAAGTAAATAAGGTCGCTATAGAATGCATATTTTCATTAGAAAATTGATGGGACCATGGCAACTATTTTGCTTGAGATTTAGACCAAATCTATAACATATCTCATTTTATATCAAGTTTTGTGATGCTAAATTTGATTGTACTTTTGTACTGTATTTAAAAAAGAAAATATCAAACCAGCTAGAGTGAATTATGACCTGTCTTGAAACTCATTATGGTCATTAATAAGTCCCACTTAGGTAATAGGGGTATATAGTAATCACTTTATCTCCTGAGTGTGTGTATCTGTGATAACGTTTTGTACAAGATTTCTCATGAGTTCCTGAAAAGATTTGGTTTATATTCACATCATAGCATCATACCACCAAGGTCTATACCAGATAAGAATTTATAATCATTTTACTAAATGTTAAAGGCCATCCTTGACCACTATGAAATATTGTCTCAAGTTATTATTTGCAAAAAGATACCACTGAGAAAAAGAAAAACAAGGTTCATAAATTATGACATTAAATTTCAATCAGGAACAGTGTCCCTAAATCAACTGTCAGGATTGTCAGATTGTCAGGAGGTGAAAGAAATGGGGTAAAATCTTAAAAAATACTATTTCTCTCCATATTTGTTTGTGTCAGTACTAACAACTACTGTGATAAGTCCATGCTGCGTAATCAATCATATTTTATGAATTTGTATATTGGAATAATCAGTTTTATCAAATGAGTATATCAATAATATATGTTAGACAGAAATTATTCATTGTAAGTGTAAAGTGTATTGACAGGGTAATGTAATTGTTATTAGCTCACCTGGCGTAAAGAGCCAAGTGAGCTTTTAGCATACCACGGCCTCCATCGTCTGTCCATCTGTCAACTTTTTCTACAAATTGCTACTAGTCATGAACAACTGAGCGGATTTTAACCAAATTTTGTCAGAAGCATTGTTAAGTAAAGGGTAATCAGTTTTGTGGAAACTATTGGTCTCGGCCCCTTTTGGGCAGGAGAGATGAGGCCCAAAAATTCTTAAAAATTCTACTGCTCCTGTTAGAATGAATTGATATTACCCAAATGTGGTCTGAAGTATTCTCGGAGGAAGGGAATCAGTTTTATACAGACCTATGGTCTTGGCCTCCTTAGGTGGCAGGGATGGGGCCAAACAGAAGAAATAGAGTAACTTATTTAAAATCCTACTCTGTAGGAATGAATGGATATTTCCAAAATTTGGCCTGAAGTACTCTTAACTGAAAGGGAACCATTTCTGTATGAATGGTTCATCCCAGCCCCCTGGCGTGGAGGCCTTATTGGGGAAATGTAACTTCTTAAAATGAAATTCCTTCTTCAGTACAAATGTATTGTCCAAGTTTGGTGTAAAGCAATTTTTATTAATATTAAATCTGACTTCTGTTTGACCACAGGGATGGAACCAAATTGGGAAATCATATAAAAATTATTGATCATATTTGAAATTCTTTTTTGAATGGCTAAATAGCTGAATTAGCCAGTAGAGTGATGCAGGCCCCTTGGGCCTGTTTTTTATGTCTGATATTGTAGTACAGGAGTGTATGTTTTTCTCATAAAGTATGTGTCATGGGAGTGAGTGCCTGATCCCATGAAAGTAGATTGCTTTAAAATTACACAGAAAGTCACAGCTGTCAGAAACTCCGATGAATTTGCTGTCTGAAGTATTTATCTATAAACAGGATTTCTGTTACAATACAAATCAGGATGGACTCTTACACATAAAACAATATCAACTTCCAGCCCTGTGAGATATCATCATTAGCACTGCCCTGTCCATGCCTAGATACACCATACCGATTCGCAGACAATACAATTCATGTCCACCTTAAACCACAATGCATAAAACCTGGCACATGGTTTGAAAAGGAATTCTAATATACTGTAGCTGTATCATGTTTTCTAAGTAGAGTGCAATGTGTCTTGAAGCATAGCAAACCTGATGAACCATGGTATCAAATTGTAGTTTATACAGATAGATTCCTTTACGATATTAGTATAAATATTTCTGTTCTCTTATACAGTTGTTAATTCTGTCCTGGAATGTAAAATACTTCAGTGAAATCCAGTGTGTTCATTTCCCTATATCAGTACCAACCAGTGTTCTGAGTATTTTCAAAAGCTAAGCATTAAACTTTGTGAACCAGAAATATCTAGTCTAACATGTACCTTGATTTTGATGAATTCAATAAGAAATGCACTTAATTGTCTTCTTTGAAAAAGAAATGATAAAGATTGCTTCAATGAGTTTTTCATACCTGATTTTGTATGTATGATTATGGGTTCTCTTCACTCATGAAAACTTTAATATGAGCAGTTCCGACTTAACAATAGATTGTCCATTTTTCCAAGAGGACTTGCTAGGGAACTTATTTTCTTAAATTTTTTTTTTCTGTTCAATTTTGATGGTGTATGAAATGGTTAATTTTGTCAGGAGCAAAACATCCTTGACCTTTCACCTTTGTTCCTTGGATGAATGTTATTGACTGGTGGGGCCCTAGGACAGCTGATAGTTTGATGTTCTTGGTCTGCTGTTGATGTGTTATTGTCATATTTTGAGAATTTTGAAGTAACAAAAACTAACTATAAATAGTATATGATTTTGTTGGCATTATGCACCAATAATTATTTCTGATATTATTTTTTAATATATAATTATTTCTATAATAACCTGCCTGTTTGGACCTGCACGTTTTATGTTCTGAAATCTGTTGTATCTGTACTTGTGCTGTTTTTACTGATATGTTTATTCCTATTTTGTCTTTTCTACCACAGAAAATTTGGAGAAATGAAATTATGTTTTTGTTAAATGCACAAATGTCTATAATGACCTTTAATGCTTCACACATATGTATTCTTTACTGCTTTTTTTATTATCTGTAATGACCTAGGTGCTAGGATTTCTTCTTACCTTTTGTTTGGAGTGTTTGTATTGAGCTATATTGAGTCAGACTGTTGTATTTGAGTAATAGTTGTGTTGGACTATTGACTAACAGGAGGTATAAGCTGCATCATCAATAGATCCTCCAGTATTAGGGATCATGATAGCTCACAGTGTGAAAGCTTTGGTCTATGTAACCTCAGGTGAAGATCAGAGGGGTGCAATTCAATACACATTGAAGCTGATCAAGAAACAGACTGGTCTGTGCTAACATGTTTATGTCCCTTGGTGGGACACTGGTTCCCAATGGCTCTGAATGACGTGTGATGGGCCTCCAATATGTTGGTCAGTTAGGTAGGCATCTGCTATTAAACGGAGACCCTGCTGTTATCAGTTGGGCGATAATTTGAAGAATCTTAACTTGATGTGATCTCACACATTTTCAAGCAGTTTCATAACTACTACAGTTTGTAAATAATACTGCTCATATCTTGGTTATTTTGATATTTGGACAACCAAAGTCAAGTGTTTGATAATTTATTGGCAATATAAACAACTATTGTTGCACAGAAATATGAACAAGATGATTTTTTACCATGAAACCAATTTAAGTGTGCCTTATTCGATAGAGCAATTTAACAGACATGTTCCAATGTATTTTATTTTTGATGACATTTGACTAAGTGTTCTGCCTCTTAATGATTTAAACTCATGATTGATGAAAATTATTTTTTCTGTCTCTCCTCTTAGTTTAGAGTTACATATATACAAAGAAACTGACAAAGAACAATTAAGTTAAGTGCAACTGTGTCTATATATGGTGTTACAATATACATTCAAGTAAAACAACTGTTATTTGTCAATATCATAGTTATATATAATAACTAAAAGACCACAAATAAGTCTTTCCTGTGATGGTTGTAAAGTGTGTTCTTGCAGATTCTGCTTATTTTTAACAACATGTTTATATTTATAGTTACTCTATGTATATTATATATAAAATGAAAGTTATGTGCATTATTAGTTGAAAAATAAAATTGTTACACCCATTCTTTTGTTGGTTTTACCATTTTCGTCATTAGATAAATACTGCAAGTCCTCCAGAGGTCACTTTTTGAATACACACATTATATTGTATTTATTTTGACTTGTTTTCCTGACATGGTGACTAATATCCAAAAACCTCAAAAAGAAGTCAGGAGGATGTAATGAATTTTACAGGCCGCTCTCATTAAACTTACTCCAAATTTTCATCACGAAAAAACAGAAAAAAAACTGCTATGCTGCTGTCAATGAAGATGGGAATCACTGTCAGCTGGTGGGTAAAAAACTGAAAAATCAAATAAATAACAGAACGAAGGGCAAAATTCAATCTATGGAAGGAACAAAGAGTTCAGTTGCAATACTTTGCGTTTGATGGTTTCTACTGATTTAGACTAATTCTATCACCGTCTTTACAGATTTGATATCAAAACAACCTTTCATGTTCTTTACATCGTTCAAAACGAAAGGCAGGCACCAAGGCATGGTAGAAATATTATATTCTATGTAAAATAAGGCATCGGATACAGGTAACAAATATATCTTAAACACATTTTAAACCTCTATATTAATTAATTACGTGTAACACTTCCTGGAATTAATTTCTCTATCAGATATTTTGCAGGATATGGACGATATTCTATCGAAATATCTGTATTTGATAGCTGTATATTGGATGAAATATTATGTATTTCAGACAAATCAAAGATTTTATCAAAATATGCTATGTGCATATAACATCTCTTTAAACAATTTGTCAAATCACATTAACACTTATGATTTCATCACGATTGATACATAATAAGCCTTAAATTTCTGAAGCAAATAAAAACACCTTTCAATATAAATTAAGAGTAACATACAATCCACAAAGCCGTCTCATGCTTTGTCCTTTTAGGACTTGTTAGTAATGTTATGTACCTTAAAAGTTGAAATCTATGAGACAGAGGTACATGTAAATCAAAATTGGCTGTAATAAAAAATAAATCCAGATTGGAAGGTGCACTTCCTGTTATAATACTTGTATAAGAGCACACCCATACAGCATTCTTCGGAACCAGTTAGTGCCACTATCGTAAATACGACTTGACATATCGTAATTACGAATTATCTCATAATTTCGATTTATCATGGTGTAATTATGACATAGATATCTCCAAATTACGAGTTAATTATATCGTAATTATAAGTAAGTAGTTTCGTAATTATGACTTAAAGACATTTATACAAGATATATGTTGTCTTAGTTTCTTGCATCCATCTCGCACTCCATGCCCCGAGATCGCTTAGAAAAAAACCCGTATAACATCTTTCCATTGGTCCTTGGGCCAGAAGCCATTTTTCTGTACATTGTTGGGGCTTCGACTCCAATCCCACTTCTGGTTGGGTGTAAACCAATCCTTGCCATAATTAGCCTCTATGTATGGTGATGTTGGACACGGAACACGGACAGGTAGACCTAGCAGTGTCGCCCAGCAAAGTTCAAACTTCGGGAAAACATACCTAACAAACAGAACCACAAATCTTCAGTTGAAAACAACCCGGAAACATATCAATACCTCTTATACAATCGCAATACATAAACACAAATTCAAATATTTACACAGAAGTCCGTGATGTAACCCATCAGATTTTCCTTTCTAATACGGGAAAAATCTCTTCTCTATATAAGAGCTTAAGTCTTCACA